ATACCATCATGTCTTCTACTTAAGGTGAAGGAACTCTTCCATCATGCTCTCATGATAAGCTCGGGGATGATAATGCTTACCAAAGTCATCACGAAAGGTCTGCTACGTAATAGTTGAGGGTCCGATGTATCAACACCTCATGGAGTCCCACAAAAAATAGGTATTTTGGTCTAAGAACAAAGCCACATTGGATACCATGTGCTTATCAAGCACCCTCATAATATCCATAATCCTCTCCATCCAAACCCTTCAAGTCTCAGCCACACTTGGTCGACACAACCAACAAAAGTATAAGCCCCCAATATCCTAGCTTGTTTGGCATAACTCTGTGTCAGGTCTCTCAGCTCCCCACCTTAGGCTCTATGCATGGCAAAATGGGGGTCAAGACCTTGTGTAGGGGAACGTGAATCATCTCTGCTTTGACCTCGGGATGGGGTGATCTGCGTCGAGCGAATAGTCATCCATCTTTCATTCAGTCTCATGAGCAAGATGTTGGATCAGACTTGAATGAAATGTTAAGCGTTTAAGCCACCCGATTGGCCCTACTATCCCATCGTGTGTAACACAGCTTCGAGGTCCATTGGACTTCCACCAACTAATTATGTTAGGTCTAAATGTAGGGGCTAGGCCAGTATAGACTCTCTTGCTCTTAAGATCCGAGAAACAAAGAACTCGTTCCACTTGGGTAAAAACATATAACAAAGGTATATCTGGGAGGGAATACATCCCTATAAAGAATGAAACACAAACTTACATAAAAAGTCTAATGGAATTTTTTTTTAAAAAAGACACATAATATTGACAAAAAGCATGGACAAACAACAAGCGAAAGTGGGCAAGATAGCCACAGAAAACAACAAACGAAAACAGGCTAAACCATCTAATGCTTCACAATTACAACCTTGAAGTCTGAATAAGTAGAAAATAGACATATTTATAAGCTAAGATTGAGAAAAAAAAAAAAAGTCATTATGAAAATGAATAAATCAAAAAGAGATTATTTTTTTGGGAGATTCACTATTATACCCAATATATGAGCTCAAATTATAAAAAAAAACCCTATATGAAATGGACTTTAGAAACACACCCAAAGCTCATTTACAACATAATAAAGACTTTTAACTTCTTTTAAATTACAAAACTGCCATTGATTTCTTAAAACAAACCCGACCCCAAAACCTCATAAAAAAAACCCAAAACACTCAATAGGGCATCAAAGTAATTTAATAATCAAAATTAAATTCAATAGGTCAAGCTATCATTTTTTGGGTTTGTTTATAGAAATTAAATGGTGTAGGGTATGTTTATAGTTTTAGTGCTAAGAATGGGTATATGACTAAATATCTCTATTTTTTTTTTTCCAACACGCTTGGGATCTATGTGGTAAGGATGTTACTGAGTTAGTTAAAGATTGTTTTGGCTCTGGTTGCCTTCCCGAGGGCCTCAATCATACTTTTATTTCTCTCATTCCGAAAATTGATAAACCTTTGAGTATGATGCATATGAGACATAGCCTCTGTAATACCCTCTACAAGGTAATTTCTAAAGTTTTGGTGGAAAGACTCCGCCCCATTATGTCTAAATTGGTTGGGCGAACCGAAGTCAGTTTCTTCCCAGGAAGACAAATTATTGACAATGTTATTATTGCTCAAGAAATGTTTCTTAAATTCAAGAAAACTCTCTTTACCCACAAATTTTTTTAAAAATAATAATAATAAAATGCACATAAGGTGCGAAGCCTACATGGATATAACCTAATGCTCTAATACTAAGTTGAAAGGACCTACCCCGAATCCCCTCCTAGAATCCATGACAAACCATGTTTCCGGAATCAAATTACCAAAATACCCTTTTGCACTAATTCCAAAGCAACCTTAAGGTCTGACTTCTACTAGAAAATTGGTAGACTCTCCCCTAAAAATTGCTCTAAAACCAAAATTCCACCTACAAGGAAAATATAGTTTATAACTCCCAATCGTTCAACATGCACAAGTTAAGTTCACACAATAACTGCAAGCAAATCCAACGGCCTTAGGCCTCACAAACATCTAGGACAATATCAGAGCATTCTAATTAGATTAGGTTTACAACAAAAGAAAATCCTATGTGGAGAAGATTTGAATAGCAGCGGAAGAAGGATGGCCTCATGTGGTGGTCCAGTACTCATCTATCTACTTTCTGGGGGCGCAAAATAGTAAAAGTGTGAGTTAACAAAAACAAAGCGTTTGAACATAGTTTACAAAACATACTAACCCCACTATTTTAAAAACCATTTTGAAAACCACATGAAAACCATTTTCATATAGGCATACAAAAAAAGTGATATATATTTATACATATATAACAATTTCCATTCAAATCCATCTCAACAAGTGTATAAAACCCTCCACCTAAGTGTACCCAAGAAAATTGGCCAACCGTGGCAAACAAAATGAACAAGCTAGACGGGAACTATTCTGGCACCGCACGTGAAGAACAAATCAGCACATGCAGGCACTGGCAACCGCACAAGAAGAACCCCATGATGGTTGTGCATGCATATTTTGGCAACTGCCAATGTACATAACATATGCAAGCATTCCTAGCAACTACACGTGCGAGCATTCCTGACAATTTAATACGAGCTTCCCTGAAGCACGTGTGGGCATGTCATACGCGCGTAGACTAATCCGAAGGCAACAAGGGTAAGCTAACCATGTCCAAAGACATGTCATTATCTGAAGGCAACCAACTAGGGTACATTAAAAACATGCATAACATTCAAAATAGTTCTCGATCCAAATCTGAATATAAATCATACATAACATGCTTGGAAAGTAAAAGCATTAAATGTAACATTCATAAATCCAATATTTTCATAAAATTGTTTAGAAAACAAATGTCCAATCACTGAGAGTACAAGCAAGCTCAACCCAAGTTAGGTGGGTCTGAAGTAGTATGTCGCGCCTGGGAACCTAGGTCAACAGTAGGATGTGCTAGAAGTGGTCGGATTTGGAGGTTTTCTGACGAGAAAACCCTAGAATTTCTTTGGCGTCGATTGGGCTTTTCCTACAAAGTAAAAGGTCTGGTGTATGAGGGAAAAGATAATGGGGACGTTGGGGGGTATTTTTGGTGAAGGAAGCACGACCAAAGGTGGTCGAAACCGCCGATCTGAGCTCTAAAAATCAGACAATGGCCGAAACTGTTTTTGGCCTGTTTTTGGATCGAAAAATCTTGCTATCCACTTGGTTTTAAGGTTGGATATGGGTTGGGCTTTTTAGAGGAGGAAGAGATGAATGTTTGTCGTAAAAGTCGTGCAGCCTGAAATGGCCGAACAATGACGAGATGTCACTAGGAAGTGACATCGTCACTGTTCACTGTGAGAGAAAGAAGTGAGAAGGTCTAATTGCGATGGAGAGAGAGAAAGTGGCTAATTGGGCCCACTGGCTCCCTTTTTAAAGAATTTAACTTTCTCAAAATTACAATTGTGGCACTGCACTTACCTTGACTGTAACTCCCTCGTTAAAACTCTTATTTGGGCCCACTACGTGTCTACGAACTCGTAAACTCGAGCTTTACGCAATGGAAATGATGAAAATTTCCAAAACCAGTTCCCAAACAAAAAGTGAATCCTAAACCACTTAGAAATCCTAAGAATAAAACCGTCATTTCACTTTAAAATTCTGAAAATTAAAACTAAAAGCGGGAAGAGATGTTACACCACTCATTTAGAAATTGGTACCCCTCTCAAAGATAGATTGTAATATAAAATTTTAAAACTTTTAAACTTGAGACTTGTGATTCTGAATTCCAATTATTATTTTTTCACGTGGAAATTATAAGTTTTTTGCTTATTAACCCAAACAAGGGAATTACCAACTCCAATTGCGAAATTTTGAGTTATGTTCAAATTGTGTTGGTTGAAAAAATTGGGTTGAGTTGAGTGTAGTAGCTTAGTAGATGCCATAAAGAGCTAGAGCAGACCAATAATTGGGATATGAAAATAAAGATTAGGTGATGAAGGTCCTCAGTCAACTTCATGATGATAATAAAGTAGCGTCAGTTTTACTTGGCGTATAAAAAATTGAAGCTACTGGGAAGGTGTTGTTTTGGTGAACCAATCCCAACTTGCACAAAACAACACAGACCATGAAAAAGCAAAGTAACATCACAAGAAAATAGAGAAGGGAATTCCAACTAAACCACCGGTGTTGCTTTCTCCAACCAAATCTCCACCAATCACTCAAAATCCTTCATATTCCAACCAAACACCTTTTATTTTTCGGAATTCCCAGGCTATTTTCTTGTTGGGAAAAGATAGAAGGAAAAAGAAAATATAAGGCAAAGGTCTTAGAATAGTTTATGGACTCGAAACTAGAATGCTAGAATCTAGCAGGTTCACTCTCCTAGCAAATGCCGAGTTCTCTAAGTTATTGTAATATTTTTGTTGTAACCCAACTTCTAAGTGAGATTAAGTGGTGTGAAGTATACATTGGAATGTCTTTTTCACTAGGTGAAAAAAAGTTTAGGGGGAGTGCAGGCTACCTCATCCAAAAGTTAGGGCATACCGAGGCCTTTTTGAGGACTTACATAGGGGGTCTTCGCTTATTTTTAAGTTTTTACATATTACCCACCAAGAGGAATTGCCAACAGCGAAACTCAAACCTAGGCCTTCACAACGAAGAGAACGATCCCTACCAACTCAACTAACCCTTATTGGCACATTGGACTGTCATTTTCAATTTGCCATTTTTCAATTTTCCTTTTGATATATGCTTCCCCCCTTTTTTAGTACTTTGTTTTCCTTCCAAGTTTAGATGGATTACATAATGAGGAGATCGCACTAGTGTTACTCAAACGAAATAAAAAATAAAAATATCTACAATTTCCTCAACAAAAATTAAAATTAAAATTTTCTTTCACAACCTTCATAAAAAAAAAACATAGAATATTCAATCAAACAATATACTTGATATGTCTATAAAGCTAATTTTTTGTGGCTCTTTAGTACAACCATTTGAACAGTGTTCCCTCACCTTCAAGGCAAAATTATTTGAATAATGAAATGGATACAAATCTCAACGAATATTGAATTTTGAACTCCTAACCTTTTTAATCAGTCTTGGAAAAATGCATTGGTAGTTTCCAACTTCCAAGGTATCAATTTCATATCACTCACATTTTCTTTTTCAGCAAGTGAGAATCAACCCAAAGAACTGAGAACTCTTGATGATATATGAACAACAAATGCATATATATCTTAGTAAGTAATTATTTCACAAAATGGATGGGCCATCTCAATCTTACTATACAAAGAAAGAAAGCAACAAGGGCCTGATAAGTATCAAAAAGTATCCTTTGCCTGGCGTATGACACCCAAGGCTTCTGCATCATTTGCAGTGGCTGGAATATTCAACGATTGCCGAATCTCTATGCTTGAAGTGCGAAGAAAAGGATTGCATGCCTTTTCCAGTTTTAATGTGGTTGGAACCTGATACACCACCGCAAAAGAGTTGACATCACTTGGACAAATCATATGAAGGGCATGGAAAGTATAAACAGAACAATACTATGAATTCTAGACGTATATATTCACTGCCTGATTAGGCATTGGCATGCTTATTGGCAAGGCATTACACAGTAGTATTATTTGTTAGTTGCAAGGCTTTCCAAGCATCCAGATGCAAAGTCACACTGATGTAGCACAGCCTCTAGGGGTATGATTAAACACTCGAAACAGTAGAACCGAGAAGAATAAAGTGGTCGAGGAGAAGAAAAGATGAATTGAAGGGGTGAAAGAAAGGACAGAAATCAGAGAAACCGAGAACCAAGAAGAAAATACAGAAATCAGAGAGTTTTAAGAGAGGGTTTATTCAATATCCAAATCTGAATTGTAAAGAACTATATGGGGTATTTATAGCAAACTAAAACCTAGAGATAATAGGAAAAAAATCCCTTGCTAAAACAGAAATCCTAACCCAAATAAAATAGGAAGTTTAACATTCCAACATTCCAAAATTTCTCTCAAAAGATTATACTAGTTCAAGGAAAGGAAGTCCTCAAGTTTACCGTAGGCATGCCCTTGTTGCGAAGATGGGTGACATGTGCTGCATAGGACTGAAGTGCCTCATTCTCAGGTTCTATAGACAAGGCAAACTTTGAGTTACTCTGTCAAAAATGATTGTCTATTAGTCAGGGCCTTGTTTTGAGCTTTGAAAATTTCTGTGGCCACAGAAAGAAACTGAAAGGATGACGTGACTAACCAATGTATACTCATGACCACAGTATATATCTGTATCATCTGGCAAAGACATGATCTTTGAAAGGGAAGATTGCATCTGTAACATAGAAAATCAACTGCTTCAGCATATACATGAATACCAGAAAGAAAAAAGAAAAAAAAAGAGAAATTCATCGATTTCACCTTAAAAAAATGAGAGAAAATTTGAAAAATAACTGATCTTATAATCTATAAAGTCGAGCAAGTCTAGCAAGATAACTATTGCTTGGCAAAGGTGGCATCAGTGCTTATAAATCTTTGGGGGCACCTTCAGCTATTAACCTTAGTAAAAACCATTGCTTTGACCTCTCATTATTGAAAAGGTTCACTTTAATCATAACGATGAGAATTAAACCAAGAACATGAAGCAACAAATCCAGGTATTTATAAAGACTATAAGCACTTTCCTTTTAATGATTGGAGAAGAAATTAAAGTAATATTTTTGTTCCAAAGCATTCACGGCAAAAATCCATAGGAAAAACAATTTCACCTTTTGGATAAAACTTCAAACACACTTATCACAAAGGCCTCCCATATTTGTAAAAGATAAATATTATTGTCTTTCCAAACAATAATTGTATTGGACCTCAGATATATTACTGTTTCCATATACAATAATTATTCTTATGAAAAACTTACTGCTGTTAATCTTATAAGTCCATACATTAAACATAATCGTTCCCTGGTAGGTTTGATCAAATTTATCAACTCTAATTACCACTCTTCAGAATCAAACAGGTACATACAACCAGTTTGTCAGATCAAGACATTGACAGTATGATGTCAACTTAAAAGTAAAAAATGCAATACATGATCAGAGCATCAAGTTTACAAAAGACTCAAACCATTGAACAAGAAGATGTCAAAAGGTGTAGGCTAAAAATCACCTGCTCAGGTGTTCCTTCAAACAACTTGCCACATGATAAGCTGAACAAAGTGTCTCCTGTAAAAATTGCCCCTGATCCAGGAAAGTAGAAGCTAATGTGACCTGCTTGCAACAAAGACCAAGAACTAAGATTAGAAATAAGAAAAACAAGGGATGGTGAATCATCTGTACATGTAATGACATTTGGAACTAGATCTATGAAGTTACTTTGAAATGGATGGACTTAACTTCTAGGCCACCATGTTTACATAAATTGAACATATCACAATATGCTTAGAAAGGTGCCAGCAGAAGTGCTAACCATGATCACAAACATTCTAAACTTGAGATTAAGCTTTTTCAAAAACAAAAACAAAAAATTAAAAAAAGCGTCAACATGGTGCTGCTCATATACAGAAGAAATATACAAATGTATAATGTAATTTGTAAAGAAACAATAAAATCAGATTCGAAAAAAAAGATATTAGATTACATTTCATAGGACTAGGTATGTGAATTGTGCTTGAGGAGATAAATTGGCCAGTAAAAATGCAGTACCAATGAAAAAAAAGTAAACAATATATGAGGAAGAAATATTATAGAAGGAAGGGTGTAACATGTGCTTCACTGAATAGTTTGTCAGTCTAGTTAAACACCAACAATTACATACCAAGAAAGTAAAATTATTCAGCGATGAGGGTCCAAATGCAGCACAAATTATTCATAATTTTTGGGCGAAAAAGGGTGTTTATCAGGAAATGTCAAGGGACTTTTAGAATGTAATCAAGTAATAAATTATGACCTCTAGTATGACCAGGAGTCTCCATAACATGCACCTCATGGCCAGCAAACATCCACTTATCTCCATCATTCAAAACAATGTCAATGCCAGGAATTCTATCCTTGTCTATTCCTGAACCAATCACCTTCAAAAAAACAACAGTAAACACGCAGAAAAACTTGTGAGCCAAAACAACTTCATAGAAGAAAAAGTATTCCGTAAAATATGCAACAACTGTCAAACAAAAAGAGAAAAAAAAAAATCAAAACGGCAGTTTTAAACTTCTATGCCAGATTCTTGCAAGTTCTGTAACATTTACTACTGTACTACGCTTGCTTAAAAAGAGAAAAGATGAAAATAACAACTGTGCTATGTTGTACAACTGTATTATATAATTCTCATGTTTTGAGAAGTGCTATCACCCAAGAGAAAATAGAAGAATTACATCAATCAAATATTAAATGAATTATGAGCTTGTTCTTTTAATCTGACATGTAAACATGTTAATGCACTATGTCATGTATTCTCCCACCTGTGTCACTCCCCAACATTATGACCTGTACCATTTCGGAGTAAAGATTTCTGGTGTAATGTTTTATTCCCAACGTGATGTTTTCTTGATTTGCAGTTCCTAAGGGCATCTAAGTCAACAGTGGTACCAAATTCAAGAACCTGGCATATATCAAGCCAAAACATACTTTCACATTGCAACTCTGAAATTCTGAATAAAGAATGTCTGCCAGACTTTAAATACTCGCTATCATTCAGATTTACTGTCCATCAGAAAGTCCACTAACTAAGACATGATTTGGAAAATGGGGAAAAAAAATGATATCCAGACTGAAAAAGCAGAAGTTAATGCTACCATACCTTTGCACCGTACCTTGCTTTTAACTCAGCATTACCACCAGTATGATCATGATGATGATGAGTGTTCAGTATGTATGTCAGATTTCGGTTTTTCTTACTCAAAGCATCTATAATAGGTACAGCTTCAGAAGGATCAACAACACCAACAGTGCCAGTATCCACATCATGTAAAAGATATGCATAGTTATCTCTAAGACATGGTACCTGAAAATGAAAAGATATATGCAATTTCAACAACAAAGTAGATATATGCAATGCAAGTTGGAAAAACTGAACATATATAAAAGTACTAGTTGAGTTGAATAATAAGTTTGGCTGACTAAAAGCATGACCACGTACAACTTATGTGTGTGCTTGTGTATATGTGTGTATACAAACACATTAACTTTAGAAGCACACCCACACAAGAGTAGAGGAGGGAAATTAAAAATAAATAAATGGCCCAGTTTCAGTGCAGGTGAACCTGCTGCGATTCCCATTTTCTAAAGCCACTGCTCCTGATGAGAGGTGGAAAAATATCAGACATCTTGGCAAGGCTGTGGAGATGTTGATGATTTTAATTTTTGCTGTCCATGTCAACTATTGAGAAATTTTCAAAAGTTTATTTGTGATGGATAGGTAAAATGAGTGAGCTTACAGAAAAGGGCACACACCCTTAACAAACAAATGGCTATAGGAAACCTAGCTAAAGGGTTGGGTAAAAAATAAATCTTTCATGCTGTGTGCTATGTAAGAAAGCAAAAACATTTAAAAATTACCCTTTAGAATGTTTGGCTTAGTGAAATTAAGAAGATTTTACAAAATAGTCAAGTTTCATGATCATATATTTGCCACCAGTATTATCTTTTCATCAAAATTTTACTGTTGTCTTTAAAACTTTTACTGTTCTTTCCATCAAAATTTATATTTTCATCAATACTTCAATTCAAAAACTGATGTTTCTATTCGACCAACTATCGGAATTTTTATCCTTAAAACTGGTTTGTCACCCAGAAATACTATGAAGATAATCATCCAAGACATTTATAATTCAAATGCAGAAGAATAGAGAGATCTACTCACCAATTCAATATGTAATGAGGGTGACATATTAACAACACTGCAAAATTTAGCGACTCTAAGAGATCGACTAGCTCCTCCACGCAGAGTTTTTAATGGTGTAGACAATAATTGCATGAATCCATACAAAAGGCCTTTTCGAAGGCAAAGCTGTCTCATGCCAGGCCATACACAGAGTCCACTCCTCCCCTAACATATGAAAAAGGGTTTCAAATTCAAAATAGCAGAAAGATTATTATCTACAGATCAGCAAGAAAAAGCCACTTCCTGCCCTTCGCAAAAGGGTAAAAGAGAAAACACAACAAACGCAAAACTTTGAAGGCTTCCCTCCCCCATATATATAGATTTTGAGGCCAAAATTGCAAAAGAAATTCAAAAAGAGCAAAACCCATTTTCCTAGACGACGCATGAAATTGTACAAGAGTACCAAATTTGGTATTCACATCTCCCTTACTTAAAAAAAAACGAGACATTCTTATCAGTTTACTAAAAGCGGCGGGCTCTAACTTTTACAAAACCATTTGCAATACTCTGCCGCTAGACTTTAAAATAAACAAAATATCCCAAAATAGATTTAACAAAAAGTACAAAACTGAAAAACGCATTTGCCTACCAAGGCATATCAGGTTTTGTCGCTACTGCCCACAATCACATTTCTGTATTTAAAAATTTGGACTTCAGAAAGGAAAGAGGAAATGGAAAACAGAACGGTCACTATAAGCCCTAACAATAAGAGGAAAAAGAGGAAATACAGAGATAAACAGATACAGAAATACATACATATGATATAGAAGCACACTAGAAAATGGTCCATTTTCATTTCCAAAAAATATGTGTTAATAAAAAAAAAAATTTGGAACAAAAGATACCGCAATTTACCAGAGAAATGAACAAAAATAAAATAAAAATTAAGAAAGGGGAAAGTCAGAAAGGAAAAGCAGAGAGAGAGGGGGGGTGAAGGTAGAAACCTTAGAGCAAGGGAAGGAGGCCATGGCACAAGAGGCCTTGGAGATCATCTGCATCCCTCACACTCTCACTCACCTTTTTTCTTCTTCAACAAATGAGATTCACTCTCCCCCCTTTCTCTTTTTTCTAGAGAGAGAAAGAGAGAGAAGGAGAGAGAGGGCTGTGTGCTTGCTTTGGGTTTGTGGGTGTGGGTTGGCACCTTTGGCAGTTGAGCACTCAATTTCCTTTTTTATTTTTTATTTTTTTGTTAATTTAATGTATTTTTATTTTTCTCTGTGAGATGAGACGAGATGAGATTTTTTTTTTTTTTTTAAATAGTTGAAAACGAACCTTTTGGTTCCTTTCTCCATCCATCGTCGATCCCCACCACTACACCAGCAAAGGTACTACCACCACATGCTGGGGCAGGACGCGTTTAAATTAATTAATTTCCAATTTAATTCCCTCTGTGTTGATACTAGCTGTGTCCGAGATCGCAATGGCCCCGCCACAAGGAAGGGCAAAGTCTCTTGCGTCCACACTATTTTTTTCTCATTTCAATGCTTAAAATTATTAAACTCTTAAGTTTTATTATTGTGTAAAAAGATAACAAAGTCATCCAACTTAATACTTAACTCTAGTATATCTATACACACACTCCATATACCCCATCACTTTTTATATTACGTTTTAAAAAAACACAAATATTTGGGGGTTGAATTTCTCCATAAAGCAAATAAAGGGAGGAAAGTAAATAAAGATCTTCATATTATTTTTCTATCTATGTAATAAAAATCTTTGGGGGGTTGAATTTCTCTATAAAGCAAATAAAGAGAGGAAAGTTTGGAACTTGGAAGAGTCATGAGCATAAAGAAATTGCAATAAAATTGAATGTTTTTCACTTTTAAAAAAAAAAAAAAAAAATCAGTTTTCTTTAGTTTGTTTGCCAAATTAAAGATGAAACTAGACTCACAGTACGGCTTACCCATGAAAGAGGATATGAGTCTGGTTCTAGTTTATTTGTCTCCCAACTCAACTACTTGAAACATATTATTTTTCTATCTCTGTAATAAAATCGTAGCTCTAGCTATAGGACTTAGAGTGGTGAGGGGCAAGATAACGGGGTGTGAGGTTAATAAGTTATATATATATATATATTTTTTTTTTTGGTTGGATGTGTATTTAGGGGTAGTTTAGGGAGATAGTGGGGTTTTCTTAGAAATTGTGAAAATTTGAATTAGAAGTTAGGGTGAACAAAGAGAAGTGCAGGTTTTAAATAAAAATGGGTCTTTTATGACTGTAGCTCTGCGATCATTCAAAATAGCACATTTTATTAACTAAAGACTTGTCGCCAAAAATTTATAAAAAAAATAAAAATAAAAATTGTATAGAAGACTTGTAGTTTTGTTAAAAAAGGGTTTTGAGGAGTAATGGTCTTTGAACTTAAAGCCCAATTTACATTTTGGTCCTTAAACTCGATTATTGGTTATGCAGTTAGTTCGGTACATTTTTCGACAAATTTAAGGGAAAAATGATCCTTTTAAGTCTAGCCTCAATAGGGTTAGGCATTTCTACAGCCCCAAATCAGTAAACCAGCCGAATCATACTAATTTGGTCGGTTTTGTGCCCTTTTTTCTTTTTACGATCTCATATATATTTTAAACTCATCATTTTAACTTACTCTAATTGGTCTTGATTTCTTTTTCAAACTAACCTTTTTCACGTGTCTTTATTATATTGGTTGGCCTTAAAGTGATTCTATATCTCCTCCCCACGTTGAATTAGCTCACCCCTATCTCTTTGGGAGCATTTTTACTCACCACTTTAACCATAGGTATACCCTCACCACCATCCTCAATGCTTGACACGTGTCCATAGACATAACCATAGTTAATTTTTGCTTTATATTTATGGAATCATGATTATACATATGGACACGTGTCAAGCATTGAGGATAGTGGTGATGGTACACTTATGGTTAAAGTGGTGAGCAAAAATGCACCCCTATCTCTTCTCTCTTTCTCTTCGAAACCCTAGCAACTGCATCGTACTTCTCTCTCTCTCTCTCTCTCTCTCTATTTCCATTCGAAGTGGAAACCATAGTGGTCGCACTATCTCGATCTTCTCACTTTACTCACCATCTTCTTCTCTCTTGTTCTTTTTCTCATCTACTTTGCCTTGACTCGTTGCCACCACTACATGGCAAGATCTAGATCCACCTCACCAACTTCTCCTCTCTCTTTGTTTCTCGCACCACTGGTTTGATCTCACCTAGAAACAGACCGAAACGAGTCAATTTCTCGATGTATCGACCATAGTCTATGAAACTTTTCAATGATTCGGTGTTGGTCTTCAGAATTGGTAAATTATGTAAGCTAAACATAGCGTAAGCATCGACACGTTGTCGCATAAGCTATTTGGACTAGAAATATTATAGCTAAAAATAATGATACCTAATATAGGCTATCAAAAAGTCTAATTATCATTTAATCATAATATTCAAGCAATAAAATATCAAATGATCAACATTCTCCTTTAAATTACCAACAAACTGCTTCAAATGAATAATTTAATATAAAGGGTTTTTATCACAAATGGTCCATGAAGTTTGCGAAATTATTGCCTTTGGTCCTTTATGTTTATTTTTTGGATGATATTATTGGTCCTTTATGTTACACCTTCTGCATCAAAATGGTCTTATCAGGTTCCGTCGAGTATTCTGTTAAATTGATGACGTTGGATTCAAGTAGAGCCCGCATTTCCAATGGCATTGTGCCACGTAAATTTGAATAAAAAAATTATTTTAAAAAATTCATAAAAAATTAAAATTAAAAAAAAAAAAAAAAAAAAGCAACTTCCACCCTTTCCTCTACCCCTCCATCTCTCTCTACTCTCTCTCTCTCTCTCACTCTCAAAAAAATATGGAATACGATTTGGGTGCCTCACCCCTATGTTTTTTTTCTTTTAGATCGCCTTTCCTTACCTAGCCATCATTGCACCCCATCACCGCAAGAGTTCTCACGAACTCTGGATGGAAAAAAAATGCATAGAAACAAAAGCAAAATCCCTAATTAATTATAGAAAGGAAAAACTCCAATGAATCTGCATTTGTATTTCATCATTCACTAGGCTTGGGGAGTGGGTAATTGGGGGTGGAGTGGAGTGGGCACTAGGTCGAAGGTGGAATCGAAGATGGTTTGCAAGGGTTGGGGCTGATGGATCTCGGGTTGTTCGTTGAGGAAGAGGAGGAGTTGGGGGATGGGTCGGGGAGGGGATGAGAGAGAGAGAGCTGAGAGAGGCTGAGAGCAAAGAGAAGAGGGAGGGGGAGGGGAACGAAGGGGATGATGGACGAACGAAGGGTAAGGGAGGGAAATAGGTTCTGAAGGGGTGGAGGAGGGGGAGAGTTGCAATTTTCTTTTCTTTTCTTTATTTTATTTTATTTTTCTAATTTTTTTAGATTTTAAATGTTCAACTATTTTTTAAAAATAATTTTTTATTTATTTAGATCCACTTGGCAATATCTCATTGGACATATGGGCACCACATATGTGTCATGTCATCACTTTAACAGAAATTTTAACGGAATCTAATGGCATGGATCAAATTGATATGTGAGGTGTAACATAAAGGACCAATAATGTCACAAAAAAATATGAAGGACCAAAGACGATAATTTCACAAACCTTATAAACCATTTGTGATAAAAACCCTAATATAAATGAACTTATTCGAATAATTAACCCATAACCTGATTCAACTAAATAACTAAATATACCTAAGAATTTCTGTAGTTACCAAAGATTCAATTATGAAATTGCCCAAAATATACAACCACAAACGAGGAAAAAAGAAAGATGAATAAACACCTATGCTTGCTGAAAATCCTGCTCAAGTGGGACCCCAAGTCATATAACACAGAGGAGAAGTAACACCTATTGACTCAAAACCTCAAACTATGGTCTTCAATTTCATGGATTTGTGTAAACATTTGTTAGAAATGTGCCCTAAGAGCCAATACATTTGATGTAATCTCCTTAGAATACATTTCGTATATGATATATAAAGGGCAAACTTAATTTGTTATCTTTTACATCGTGTAAAGAAACAAATGTCCAGGGTATGCTAAATAAGAGATAAAGTAATCTAAAGAGGATTAGATTTAGGAGACCTTTAATCTCTAATTATAGCATCCCAAATGTTCCTAATCATAGGTTATCAAATGGGCATTGATAAACCGTCAAGATTAGCACATATTATGTATGCTCATTTGGGAGGATGGTTAGTCTCAAACCATTTGTGTAGTTGACACTAATACAAGTATGTGGGTGCTCATTAGTGAATGAGTACACTGAACGCGATCAACCGTAGTTCTCATATGGAGTATTTATCTACATGTCAAATGAGAACTCATAGTTGCAATAATGCAAATTAGTCCTTAGACCTG